ATGTAGTTAGTACAAAGTAGCATTCAAGGAAAATACTTGTGTAAAGTTTGTACTCCAGTACATTACTATAGTAAATGTACTTAGTTACTTCCCACCTGTGCTAACCATGTGGCTGCTGCGTTCTGCTCCAGGAGTTCAGTGTATGTGGGCCCCTGGTCCTGGCAGCTAAACTGTGGAGTGCATTGGGAAAAAGTGATATATATTGCGGTCCATTTGAAGGTTACAGGGTGCATTCACAAGGAGAATTTAAGCTACACAATGCTACAAATATTCCCTTAAAGTCACGCTGAGCTTTGTTTCTGTAGTGTTGCTGTTTGACAGCCAGCAAACCCCCACCTGAGGATGGCCCTGACCTTCCCTCACCCTCAGCCTTCACTCACTCACTCTGATGCTCCAGTCTGATTTCCCACGTTGACTTTCCCCCTGTTTTGCCTCTGCCTTCCCCATATTTCCTGACCTGCAGTCCTAGCCTGCTCTTTGGTTGTCATCTGACCTGACATGTTGAGTGTTCAATGATTAATTTGGCCTCATAGCCCCTGACCGTTTCTCAAAGATATTAAACAGCATTTCCCTACAGTTGACAGGAGGTCATTTTGGGAGTGGTGTAAAGAAACTTTACTTCAGTATTTCCATGTTTTGCTACTTTGTACTCCTTTAAAATTCAATTATTAATTATGTACTTTTACGGCCACCATCAGAACACTGGAAGCTACCTGGACCAGAGTTCTGATAACTGAGCTATAGTTCTTTTTTTACTAGTAATTTGTAATGCATTCGTTTTTTGAGTAACTATCCCAACACTGGTCAGGACCAATGCAGACTTCCTGTTGGAGGGTTTAATAACTTCCTGTTGGAGGGATTGGTAAACCACTCCACAATAGTTGTTTTGGAACAGCACTTTATGTGGCGGACCCTCCTACGCATACGCAAACGGAGTGGAAGTGGGAGGGGCTAGTGTGAAGGGGTCGATTTGGAACCGGGCCCCCCTGTGACGAGGAAATTTAGAGAGGGGAACACAGAGGAAGACCATCTCAGCACACAAGGGTCACATTGGACTGTGAGCTGTAGGGTCGTCGGTTCAACAAGTCCCTGAACAGACCTAAATATGGAGTGTGGACTTTTAAAAAATAGCTACACATGACTTGCCTACAGTATCATAGTAGTTTAAATGGTAACCAATGTATCATGATACATATTCTTAACAATACACACCCCTATTGTTGCCCTAGTACAGGGGTCGGCAACCGCGGCCCACGGGCCGCATGCGGCCCTTTAAGCCCTCTGCTCTGGCTCCCTTGAGCTTAGACAAAAATAAGAAGGAAATAAAATAAAAGTACTTGTAGGACTGTTTATATTTTGTTGCATGGTTGAAAATGTTTCGTATCTTGTATTTTGAGGTGATACTGTGACACATAAATAAAAAACAAAACGGTTTTAATTAGGTCAACTAAAATATGCGTCACATCCCGCTACGGTCCCGCGCTAGCGCCTTTTCTTGGAGGCGAATAACCGGGGACCTCCGGCTCGATGAGCGAACTATGGATAAATCAAAGAAAAGTACCGGAGGAACACAGGATTTAATTCTGTGTGGACAGAGTTATATGCTTTCACAGCAAACGAGGCTGGTTTACCGGTATGTTTGATATCTAGAGAGAAGTTGTCAAAGGTGCTGCAGCCTTTACGTATCGAGGAACA